AGCAAATGCGCGATTGGGTCTTGCCTTGTTGGCGCGCGGCGCAGCAATTTGAATGCGACATTCCCAGCATTGCGCGGCTCTTTGACCTGCTAGCTCATCAGCTTCAAAATGCGTGGGGCCGCGTTGGGCCCGCGCTATGTTTTCGAGATGTCGCCAAGGCGCGGGGAGCGCGCTAGCGTTGCGATGACGCTCTTGTCCTGACGGGCCGAGGCCTTTAGAGCAGTCCGCTTTGCCGAGGCGGGGGACATGATTCACGCTTCGCTCGCGTGTTTGTTGTCTTGCAGTCGCGGGACTCAGGTCTAGTCGGAGACGCGCGCGCGAGGCCGCCGCGGCGCAAGAGCGCGGAGTGCTCCGAGTTGCCTGGCGCGAGGCGCGAGTCGCGTGATGTTCGATAGTTCTGGGGCTTAGGTCTTCCCCATTTCCGTGAAGCTTCTAGAACTAACTGGGCACGATATTCGAACCTAACATTGTGAGCTCAGGTCTCGGTTTGAGTTGTCGAGAGTGACTACGTCTCGGAATTTTGCTGATTTTCGGCTACGCGTTTGCATAAGCCTTTGCCTGAGCAATTATCTCAATCCAGCTTGAGCCATTTTTTGCTTGCGTTTAAAGGCCTCGCTAAGTCGCGTCGAGTCCTTTGGTCAACGAAAATGACTATTTTGGTCGTTTCTCTTAGCCTTTTCATATCCGCGCTCCGAGCATGTTTTGTTCGGTCTACATTCGCTCAGGTTGGTTTATCTGAAGCTAAAATGTTAATCTAAATTATCGCGAAGTCGATCGAGCTCATCTTTTTGATGTTCGAGCTTGTCTTTCGCGTTCGTTAGGCGAGCATGATCTTGTTCGATCTCCCTTTTAAACGCTCGAGTTGTTCAACTTGGTTGATCTGATCAAGTTCAATTTCAATCTTGCCTAGATCAAGCTTGAAGTGGTTCATAACTCTTGCTCGTTTGGTCGAGCATCTTAGTCGAGTTATGTCTTTTCGCTCACGCTCAGAACGTTTTGTCGAACTGCGTTCGACCTGTTTAGAACGTCGTGCTCGGTCTCTCACTCGACGTGCTTACTCAATCAAGTTTAGGGGTGATTTAGCTCGACCTTTTCGGATTACAGTGCAGGGATTCCCCTATATAGAAAAACTTTCGAAGCTTTGAGGTCTCCGCTACTCGCTCTCGACATTTGCCTAGGGCGCCACCACACTGTGTTGGCGGACCCTAAACCCTAAACCCTAAACCCTAAACCCTAAACCCTAAACCCTAAACTAGTGGCTGCCGCCATATGCGCCAACACAGGTGTAAGGTTGTGCGTCGATCTTAGTGTTGACAGACCGGTCAAGCGACATGAGATCGATGCTCAATTAAGCCGTCTATCGAGATATGTGAGTTACAAAGTTTAAGCTTGCCTCAATTTAGACTAGACCAACGTTTCAAGCTCGAGATGATAGATTTAAACTGTCCATTGAATCGGGCGAGACTGAGGCTTAAACTTTTCATTGATGGAGCATCGAACGTTCTAAACGCTTAAACTGACCTCGCCCCAAATTGGATCAAAGCCGCAAACTCGAGGTCGGAAACGTCGTCGTCTTGGCCTCCAACGAGCTATGCGCTGCCCCGTGCTTGACCCGGCCGCTGATAAATTCTTTGCGCGGGATCATATAGAACTAGCCAGCACTGCTCTAAATCTAGAGATCTGGCCATTTGGCTGCCCTCCAAGGCTCAGCTCTGTCCCGGGAAGGTGATTCTGTTTTCTTTTTAAAAAAATCAGGATTTGGGCTTGGCCCGGTCGCTGATAAATTCTTTGTGTGGGATCATGTAAAACTAGCCAGCTCTGCTCCAAATCTAGAGATCTGGCCATTTGGCTGCCTTCCAAGGCTTAGCTATGTCCCGGGAAGGCGATCCTGTCCTGTGAGAGGGGCCAGGCCTGTTTGACGATCCTCAGGCCAGAAGACCCACCCAAGCAAGGCCCAGCCCAGGCAGGCCGGTTGTCAATGAGTTGGCCAAAAAAAATCCACCCGCCTATGCCTGTTCGTCCAGGATCCTGTCTGGAGGGCCTGGAAAAGTCCTGGAAAGGCCCAAGAGGGCCTGGAAATTCTCAAGCCTCCAGCTGCAAATGCGCTGAAAATCGCGAAGCCGAAGAAAAGCTTTTGTCACGAAAAGCATGACCTCCCACTGGCCAGGCCGCCCGCTCCACGACTAGCGCCAGGACTTCTTGTTGCTTGGCGTTCAGGTTGGGCCGCTTGGCTTCCAGCCACCCGAGCTGGCCTGCCTTTGTCACAAGCGCCTCCTTTTGCATTGGCGCCTCCCTTGCTGGCTTTCTCCCCCTTGGCACGGGAGGCCTTGGCCGCCTCCTCTAGCTCGTCGTGGTCTTCCACGGCCGGCTTGGCCGCCATGTCGGCGTAGTGTTGGGCGAAGTTCGGGTCGCCCTCGCGGGACGCGGCCGACCCGCCCCAGACTTCTTTGGACAGCTGGGACATCTGTTCCGCGCGGGCGATTCGCTGCGCCTTGGCGGTCGCGTCCTCTGGCGTCTCTGCCTCGGCCTCTTCTTCCTCTTCTTCCCCAGCTTCGCCTGGCTGCGCGGCGCCTTTGATGCGCGTGGCTTGCGCCGCCATGAGGTCTTCTTCCTCGAGCTCCATCGGTTCGTCTTCGAACTCGTTCACGCTGTTTTACCGCGGCTTTCGCTCTTTCTTTCTTTTTCCTTCTTGGTTCTCTTTTCTCTTTATTTCCTTTTTTTTCTTGACTGTGCGCGCGCGTGTGTGTGCGCGATTGCGCGCGCGCAGTCGCAACCAACGCTCAAGACGCCACTGAGTCTGTAAACACGTCAAAGAAACGGCAGCAGCAAACCCCTGAGCGACAACTGTTCGCGGCATCCAGATAATGTCAGCAACATTCTCACACAGTAAAATTGAGGCGGCGCAGTAAAAAAGGAAAACACTTTCTGCCGAATCCTCGAAATGTCTAATGTTGGATTCTCCAAGCCTCATAATTTGGAGCCTGGAGTCCAACATATCCAAGTACACATTCCTTTCCAAATACGATTTTGATCCGAATTGAATTTGCGTATTGAATAGAATTTAGTAAGCACATAGTTCACCACCATTCATAATTCGCCATAATGTCTATATCAGATCAGAATTTGAGCAGGAATACCTCTCCAAATAAGGAAAATATCATTGCGGTAGAATCCAAATATACTTTAATGCAGACAAATTCAATTAGCTTTTGAACATAATAATTTAATCAAGAATCCATCCCCAAATACAACTTGAATTGGAATATAGCTTATTCTGCAAATAAATCACTTGGCCTTTGCAAACAAATTTTAATAGTAACTCATTCCCAAATATGATTTAGCTTAAATGTGGCTAAACAAATAAAGGGCACATATCCCCAGACTCCCAAACTTGGTCTGGAGATGTTTGGCATGTGCAGGTCTCAGAGCTTTCATTTTCAGGAGATTTTATGCTTTTGGGTCTGTGCAGGTTACAGAGCTCAACGCTGCCAAAAACGACATGTTTTCAATGTTTTTTTCCCTAGCGTGCTCAAAACCGCTGTAAAAACCAGTGTTTTCCAACAAAGCCAGACTTGAATCCGAAAACGGAATCCGTTTTCGCTTTGCTGCCTTTCAAGCCTCAAAGAACCAGACATCTGCTGTCATATAGAACCTAAAAACCCACAAAAACACTGTATTTTACAGTGTTTTCAGGCATTTGCAAGAAAGAGGCATACGTAGCAGAGTTGGCACCTTCAACTAGAAGAAGGCAAAGGTAGGCCCTGGGGGGGGGGGGTGACCATATATATATATATATATACATTTGTTAATTTATATTTTATATATATATATATATATACACACGCACACGCGCGTCGTTCTCTTTTTTTTGCGCGCGATCGACGCGTGTCTAAGTCAATCACACAAACGCGCGCGCAACTATGCACTCATATCTCAAAAATCTCAAACATACAAAAACAATTAGGACGCGTCGCGTATTACATAGCGGGCCGCGCGCGTAAATGTCGCGACGGATATCCGGAGACGAGGTTCAAATCGCAACCCGACCGCGCGACAAGGCGCTGACGAAAGCGAGGCTTAATGGCCGCCTCCACAATATTCGATCTATAACCGAGCCATTTCCGAAAACCCGTTGCGAAGGTCTTGAACTAGCAAGCGCGTCGCGATTCGCCACGCGTTGAGGCGTTTGCCTATACGTGATAACTACGAAAACGGATCGTCGCGATCGCGTCGTTTTTTAGTCATATTTATTTTCAAATGATTGCAACTCGTTTAATTATTGATATAGTTATTTTTTATTTTCTCGCTGAACTGCGCTGTGACACTTCACGCGTGTCGCGCCCTTTGACGAACCTGTAAGCGCGTCCGCCAAAGGGCGCGTCCGCGTCTGTATTGCGATTCGTTTGAAACACGCCAGCTGAACAAACGCGCAAGAGGTTAGATCATTGGTAGTCTAAAAAGGGCCGAACACGCAGCAAACTGTTTCAATTATGGCGCGTTTCAAACTAGCCGCGGCTGCTGCGTGCCTCTTCCGACTTCGGAGGAGCCTTCAGCGCGCCCACTTTGACTCGAAGCTTTCGCTTCAAGTCCTTCTCCAGCCATTTTTTGTATTTGGCTATAATGCCGCGGGCCTCGTACTGTGAGAGGGCCACTTTGCCCTCTACGCAGTCCTCCGCGGTCTTCTTCGCATGTGCCTAAGTTTGACACTGCAAATCTGTCACTCGCGTTTTAAAACCCTGAAGGGCCCTGACAAAACCAGCCGGCGCGTCCGACTCGGGCAAGGGCGGTTTCGCCCGAGTTGCCCGGGGGCCGCGCGCTCGCTCGTCTTCCCCGTCTGACGCCTAAGCGCGCGCGGCAAGCGAAGACGCGCGCTTTGTTAGCTTTACTGCGAGACTAGTCTAAGACTACGGCATAGGCAGTGTTCATCTCAAGCACTTCCTCGCCGTTGACCGAGGAAAAGCTGAAAGTTCCTGCGCGCGTGCTTGCCGCGTTCGCGCCCTATGCAAAAGGACAACCGCCTCATCCGGGTGACAGTGGGTGAGGTCGTAGGTGGCACACACGTTCATAGCCAGACATTTACGGCAGTCCTAGTGCCCGAGCCGGGCCTCTATCCGGTCACGCGGCAAACCAAGGTCTGGTTCCTGGACGGCGGCAGGCCCAAGCCCGTGCTGAGGATCTCCCGAACTCAGATCCCGCTAGCGCCGGCCTACGCCATCACTGCCCACGGGAGTCAGGGTAAGACCTTGCCGGCGGCCATGGCCGACTTCAACGTGGACAGGTGGACGGACATCACCTTTGGAACCGTTGCCGCCAGCCGCGTGGCGGCCTTTTTTTTTTTTTTAGGGAGGCGGAGTAAAAAAACTTCGCGCGCGGATCGGCGGTCCTCCGAACATTCCTTTTTTGATGGTCTCGCAAGGATCCTTGAAGATGATAATCGCTGCATTTTGCGGCGTTCCCGCTCTGGCTCTTCCAGCGGGGTGCGCCAGAGGGGCCAGAGTTGCTGCTGAAGACTCTCCGAAGTGAAAAGATTGATTGGTCAACTACCGCGAGGCCCGCGCGCCCAGCGCGCCGTGCCAACAATGCAAAGTGGTTAAGCCTTTCGACTACTTCGCGGACGCTCAGTGGGACAAAGCCAGAGCCAACCTGCCTGCCACTTGTCTGACTTGCATTCATAAGGATGGAGGCGCCTGCAAGCGCAAACTGCCTTCCAATGTTGAGCGGCTGCGCTGCATTGGCTGCGGCTTCGAGAAAGTGGAGCACGCGTTTCCCCGAGCTCAACTTCGGCAGCCTCGTGCAGAAGAAAGGCGAAATTGCATCGCGTGTTTGAAGAACGTCTCGGAGTTGACTTGCTCGCAATGCGCAGAGGTGAAGCCGCTGAAGGAGTTCCACCTATCTGCGTGGACGCTGCCGTGGGCGGCCGCGTGTCAAAGTTGCCAGGACGCGGTGCGCGGCAAGGCTCGTCGGCTCCGGGCCGGATGGGAGAAGTGCCGAGGCTGCGCGGCTTTTCTGCCCACGTCTTCTGCCGTCTACATCAACCAACGCTGCCCTGCAACTGCGCGGCAGATTCGCAAACGGGCGGAACGTAACTTGCTCAGATGCAGAGGGAAATGGAGCGGATTCGGGCGGAAGAACAAGATCCGCAAGACGATTCTGCCCGAATTGCCGCTATGGTAGATCTTGGAGAGCGCGATTTTAAATGAAAGGCGGCAAAAGCAAATCGCGATTGGGGTCTTGCCCTTTGGGCGCGCGGCGCTAGGCAATTTTGAAATTCCGACATTTCCCAAGCATTTGGGCGCGGCTCGTTGACCTTCTATGCTCAGCAGCTGTCAAAATGGCGTGGGGCCGCGGTGTGGCGCGGGCGCTATGTTTGTCGAGGATGTCGGCCAAGGCGGCGGAGGAAGCGCGCTAGCTGTTGCGATGCACGCCATGTCCTGAACGGGGCCGAGGCCTTTAGAAGCGAGTCCGCTTTGCCGAGCGGGGACATGAATTTCACGCTCGCTCGCGTGTTTGTTGTCTTGCAGTCGCGGGACTCAGGTCTAGTCGGAGACGCGCGCGCGAGGCCGCCGCGGCGCAATAGCGCGGAGTGCTCCGAGTTGCCTGGCGCGAGGCGCGAGTCGCGTGATGTTCGATAGTTCTGGGGCTTAGGTCTTTCAGCCCATTACCGGAAGCTTCTAGAACGTAACTGGGCACGATATTCGAACATAACATTGTGAGCTCAGGTCGTTTGAGTTGACGAGAGTGGACTACGACCTCGGAATTTTTGCTGATTTTCCGGCTGACGCGTTTGCATAAGCCTTTGCCTGAGCAATTATCTCAATCCAGCTTGAGCCATTTTTTGCTTGCGTTTAAAGGCCTCGCTAAGTCGCGTCGAGTCCTTTGGTCAACGAAAATGACGATTTTGGTCGTTTCTCTTAGCCTTTTCATATCCGCGCTCCGAGCATGTTTTGTTCGGTCTACATTCGCTCAGGTTGGTTTATCTGAAGCTAAAATGTTAATCTAAATTATCGCGAAGTCGATCGAGCTCATCTTTTTGATGTTCGAGCTTGTCTTTCGCGTTCGTTAGGCGAGCATGCTCTTGTTCGATCTCCCTTTTAAACGCTCGAGTTGTTCAACTTGGTTGATCTGATCGAGTTCAATTTCAATCTTGCCTAGATCAAGCTTGAAGTGGTTCATAACTCTTGCTCGTTTGGTCGAGCATCGTAGTCGAGTTATGTCTTTTCGCTCACGCTCAGAACGTTTTGTCGAACTGCGTTCGACCTGTTTAGAACGTCGTGCTCGGTCTCTCACTCGACGTGCTTACTCAATCAAGATTAGGGGTGATTTAGCTCGACCTTTTCGGATTACAGTGCAGGGATTCCCCTATATAGAAAAACTTTCGAAGCTTTGAGGTCTCCGCTACTCGCTCTCGACATTTGCCTAGGGCGCCACCACACTGTGTTGGCGGACCCTAAACCCTAAACCCTAAACTTTTAGTGGCTGCCGCCATATGCGCCAACACAGGTGTAAGGTTGCGTGTCGATTTTAATGTTGACTCGATCGATCAGTCGATCTAAGGTCGATAATGAGTTAGGCGGTCGATTAAATTGTTGACATTTTCACTCCATACACGTACATGTGAAACACGTGTGCTTGGCATGAAAGATGCCTTAATGCATGAGGGCTCAAGATGACAGCCTTTGGAAAGAGAGTTAAAAGTGCTTGAGAGCCGGGGTTGTGTTTTCATGGTAGCGGAGCACTGGATAACAGATCCGGTGCTGTGCCCTGCCTAAGCCATGGATACTGCAGTGCTACAGCAGTTGCTTCAAGCAGCTACAGAAGCCGCAAATGCAGCAGCGAGAGCGAGCGCCTCCACAGGGAATGTGAGCCAGATTGGCAAGTTGGTTAAGCAACCTACTGTTTTTGGATCGATTTCAGTTGAGACCGAGCACCGTGAATGGCGAGCATGGAAACTACGATTTACAAGTTGGCTTTCCTTGCAGAGCAAGCCTATGTATGACATGGTGGAAGCAGCTGAAGCGAATCCTAGTCATGAGCAGGCTATGGTTGACTTGGATGAAGAGCATACAGCAGTGGCTTTGCAGTTGCACAGTGTGTTGCTTGCATTTACACAAGGCAATGCTTTCAGGATTGTGGAAGATGTCCGAGATTGTTGTGGTGGTGAAGCTTTCAGGAGATTGTTGGTTGAGAATGAGCCGAAAACTACATCTCGTGCCGCAGCCTTGATGGAATGCATCATGGCATATCAGCCCACCAACAAAGACCTTTCTTTGAGGCAGAAAGTTGCAGAAATCGAAGAGCTTTTTGATGCGTACAAGAGTACCACTGGGAACGAGATTGACAACATCATGAAGGTTGCAGTTTTGACGAGGCTTTTGAAACCTGAGTTGAAACGCCATGTTCAGCTACAAATGACTGCAACAACCACATATACGCAGGCGCGTGACATGATCACTGACTATGACAGGGCAACAGCAACATGGGCAGTTGACACTGTTCGACCAACAGTTGCTAGCTCATCTTCAGGTGATGGTGTGGTTCCCATGGACGTTGACCAAGTGCGCATGGATTACAAAGGCAAGGGTAAAGGTGGTAAAGGAAAAGGCAAAGGTGCCAAAGGAAAGGATAAAGGCGGCAAGGACAAATCGAAAGGAAAAGGCAAGTTTGGCTCTAAGTCACAGCAGTACAGCAATGAGTACAAAGGAAAGGGCAAGGGCAAGCAGGAGCGTGGTAAAGGCGGTGGAAATGCATTGAAAACCTGTTTTGTGTGCAATAAGACAGGTCACATTGCAAAGGATTGCTGGAGCAGACAGTCGCAGGTGCGGTCCGTTGATGCTGTTGATGGATTAGCAACACAGCAGAGAACAGATGCAGAGAGCCAGCGATTTTCGAGCTCAGCAAGTATGAGCACTGGAACCACGAACCACATCAGACAAGTTTTGATGTATGACATGTCAACCCCGAGAGCACATGTTTCAGGACCGAGCCGGTTTAGAATTGACTCATATGACGAGGAGGAGTTTTCATCTCATGTGAATTTTGTGCAAGTGGTTCAAGCAGCAGTGGAAACCACACAACGATGCACTACAGCAGTGAAAGACATGCATGAAGCCAAACACTGTGACCATTTTGACATGAGTTGCAGTGACTTGGATTGCGACTGGGATTTCTCTCCATGGTTTGCATCCTTTTCTTGCACGCAGTGCAGTGATGACCATGTGCAGTATTGCAATGCGATTCAGCAGCCTGGCAGGGATGATCCTGGACCTGCAATCGATTCCACTATTGTGATCGATACAGGTGCAGATGTGAGCGTTGCACCCATGTGGTGTATGGGTATAGGAGATTTTTCTTCAGGAGGCATTGAATCAAAGTCTGAGCTTCGAGATGCTTCAGGGAATGTGATGGAAAATGCCGCGGTGAAGAAGCTGGTTATCAGGCTGGAGGACTCGTGTGGCAGAGTTTGCGAATTTGCAGATCAGTTTGTGATTTCATCTGTGAAACAGCCGATATTAGCTGTGGGAAAGTTGATCAAGCATGGTTGGACAGTCGGCCATGAGCAGCAGCGTGTGTGCTTGAAGAGCCCAGATTGTGATGTTTTCATTCCATTGAAATTCAGGCAGAATTCCTTGGAGGTTGATGGACATGTTCGAGCCTTGCAGGTTTTCCCAATTCAGGCACAGCATGATGAAGCGCAGGTTTCCAATCCTTCCTCATCTTCTTCGGCAGGACCAGCATCTGCAGAGGTGGGGAATTTTATTCAGCTTGGGAGTGCTTGGGATGACTTGCAGCCTGGTTGGAATGTTTTGCCGTTGGGAATGGTTGCAAGCATTGTGGAGCGCACAGACAGCTTACTTGATCCATACCCTCCATGGAACAGCCGCTACTGGCCATTTCGGTCTTGCTTTGCTTCGATGAATGGCCGAGACTGGAAGGTGGTCAGATGGAATGAGAAGTGGGGTGAAGTTGAAAGTCCTGCAGAGATTTATACACAGGTGCCGAGGAAACTTTTGACCGTGGTTTATGAGCACCAACTTACCCTCGCTGAGTTGCATATGTCGCGCGATCAGATGGAGCAACAGGTACAGGCAGCAGAGAACATTCTTGTTTCAGGGTCGCATGAACTTGAACCTCAGATTGATGTGGAAGAGCCAGGTGGTGTGGAAATTGAGATTGACGCTGAGGTTTCTGGAGGAGAGCCTGATCTTCCTGGAGTTGAGGTCGTTGGAGTTCCAATCCATGCAGATCCCAATCGTGTGGTTGTGGATGGTAATGAGATTACACCAGAGACGCCATTGCGACAGATGCGAGCAGCAGCAAAATTCTTGAAGTTGCCTTCAGGTGGTTCTAAGATGCGAGTTTGGGCCAAGCTGGTGAACTACCAAGTTCATCAAGCAGCACATGCAGCTGAACTGGCAGCAGCTCTGGCAATGCAAGATGAGGGCATTGAGCCTGTGATGAAGGCCAGACCACGTGAGCCCGCAGCCAAGGAGCGTGAGATCCATAATGTGACGCATCAGCCTTATGCCCCATGGTGTGAAGCTTGTGTGATTTCAAGAGGAGTCTCAGATCGGCATATTCAATTTGCAGAAAGCAGCGATGAGAGGGCAGATACCACTACAATCCAGTTGGACTTTATGTACACTGGGAAGGTGGATGATTACGATGATAAATCTGCAAATCATGCTGAAGAAGAAAACCGAGATGCGAAGGAGGATGCAGATTCTAAGAAGTGGCCGTGCTTGGTTGCAGCAGATAAGCACAGCCATGCGATTCTCTGTGTTCCTGCAGAACAGAAAGGTGGATCCTCACTTCCAAGACTTGTGAGGGAATTGTACAATTTCACTGTGCGAGTTGGTGGACAATCAGTTGTCTTGCAAGGAGACCAGGAGAACTCTGTGCAGGCAGTTGTGCGTGGTGTGGAGCAGCTAAGGTCCAAGAATCAGTTGCAGACGGTTGTGAGGTATGCTGAAAAAGGACAGCCAATGTCGAATGGTCGAGCCGAACGTGCAGTCAGGACCTTGAAAGAGATGTCTCGCACTCTTCGCCAACATGTTTTCTTGAAGTGTGGGTACAAGATTCTTCCGGGTCATAGTTTGCACCAGTGGAGTTATTTGCATGCAGCATTTCTCTACAATGCATTTGGTGTTCAGAGACAACAGCGAGCAACCCCAATG